GCCATTCTTTTTGGTGACACATCTGGTGAACTGGCCCAGATTGAGGTATCAGTAGAGGAGGTTTTGGAACAAATTGATAAATTTAACAGTAATAAGTCACCAGGACCAGATGGTATTCACTCAAGAGTTCTGGAGGAACTCCTAGCTGAAATCACAAAACTACTAAGTGTGGTATGTAACCTATTGCTTTGATTTTAATAGGGCTGGCATTAGATTTGCTGGGCCTGGGGCCAAAGCTGAAGCCCATGTCCCACCGCCTAGGTGGCTTCAGCCCTGGATAGCAGGGCTCAGGTTACATGCCCCTGCCTGGGGCTGAAGCCCTTTGGCTTTGCCCTCCCCCCCCCACGTCTGGAGAGGTGTGGCTTGGGCTTTAGGCCCCTCAACTCAGAGCGGCTGGCAAGCTCAGGCTTCAGTCCCACTCCTGGGGTCGTGTTGTAATTTTTGTTGCCAGAAGGAAGTCGTGGTGCAATGAAGTTTGAGAACCGCTGGTTTAGATTAAGGCCCAAGAGGCAATCCTGGTTAGAGGCTGATAAGCCTAACTACAGTACCCGGCAAATTGGTTGAAACTATAGCAAGGAACAGGATTATCAGCCACCTAGATAAACATGATATGTTGGGGAAGAATCAACACGGCTTCTGTAAAGAGAAATCAATTAGAATTCTTTGAGGGTGTCAACAAGCATGTGGACAAGGATGATCCGGTGGATATAGTGTACTTGGACGTTCACAAAGCCTTTGACAAGGTCCCTCATCTAATACTCTTAAGCAGTCATGGGATAAAAGGGACGGACCCCTCATGGATCAGTAACTGGTTAAAAGATAGGAAACAAAGGGAAGGAATAAATGGTCAGTTTTCACAGTGAAGAGAGGTAAATAGGGGGTCCTCCAAGGATCTGCACTGGGGCCAGTGCTGTTCAACACATTAATAGGAGCTGGGAAAAGGGGGTAAACAGTGAGGTGACAAAGGTTGCAGATGATACAAAATTACTCAAGTTAGGTAAATCCAAAGTAGACTGCAAAGAGTTACGAAGGGATCTCACAAAACTGGATGACTGGGCGACAAAATGACAGATGAAATTCAGTGTTGATAAATGCAAAGTAATGCGCATTGGAAAACATAATTCCAGCTATGCATACAAAATGATGAGGTTTAAATTAGCTGTTACCACTCAAGAGAAAGATCTTGGAGTCATCATGGCTAGTTCTCTGAAAACATCTGATCAGCATGCAATGGCAGTCAAAAGAGTGAACAGAATGTTAGGAACCATTAGGAAAGGGATAGAAAATAAGACAAAAAGTATCTTAATGCCACTATATACATCCATGGTACGCCCGCACCTTGAATACTGTGTGAAGTTCTGGTCACCCGATCTAAAAAAAATATATATTGGGGGGAAAAGTACAGAGAAGGGCAACAAAAATGATTAAGGGTATGGAATGGCTGCCATATGAGGAGAGATTAATAAGACTGGGACTTTTCAGCTTGGAAAAGAGACGACTAAGAGGTATGATATGATTATGATATGATAGAGGTCTATTAAATCATGACTGGTGTGGAGAAAGTAAATAAGGAAGTGTTATTTACTCCTTCTCATAACACAAGAGCTAGGGGTCACCAAATTAAATTAATAGGAAAATCAGTAATATTTGGGTACAAATCAGGCTGCAAAAGAAGCATGGCACTTTGCAAAATGTTTTCGTTTTGCTGCAGAGTTAAGCGGGCCTGGCTGCACTCAGGCAGGGCTGCCCAGAGTGGGGGGCAAGTGGGGCAAATTGTCCCAGGCCCCGGGCCCTGCAGGGACCCAGCGAGCCCTGGCCGAGAATCCCTTTCCTGGCTAGAGGTGGCGGGGGGCCCTTCAGTGGCACTTCGGTGGCGGAGGGCCCTTCAGTCGCTCCGGGTCTTCGGTGGCAGGCGGCCCTTCAGTGCCGCTGAAGACACGGAGCGAATGAAGGACCCGCCGCCGCCGAAGACTCAGAGCGCCGCCCGGTGAGTACAAGCGCTGCTCCCCCGCTTTGCCCCAGGCCCCCTGAATCCTCTGGGCGGCCCTGCACTCAGGCCTAGCTAGAAAAGCTTTCTGTCCACTCCAGTTGCAGAGACAATTAGTATGGTAGAAACCAGATAGATAGGGGAATCCTGATGGAGACCTGAAATACTTTAAAAACAACACACCTTTTGGAGATCCCATATCAATAAAAGAAAAATGCAGCTAAGCCTGCAGACTGCAGGCAGGGAAAGCTCCCATTGGCTCCCATAACAGGTTTGAATTCCCACATTGATGATTTTAAATTACATTAAACAAAATATTTGAAAAAAAATAACCATTTCCTCCTTTACTTACCCACCAGAGTTTTGGGTTCCCCCTCAATGGGCGAAACTCTTGCACAGACGTGCCCACAAGAACGCCTCTGGCAGCAAAATGGCTCAACAACTTTTCGCTGGAAGAAAACCACCCAGAGTGACCAGCCCCTGAAAAGCAGCTTCAAGCAAAGGAAGAAAGAGAGTCTGAACCTTCTCCAGACACAAAAGATGTCATTCTGATGCTCTGGTGATTGGTGCCATAGAAATACCCTGGATGGAGAGAGATGCTATAGTGATATTCTGAATTATAGGTGAAGCTGGCGATAGAGCTTGTAAAAGGGAGATCATTGACAGCACAGGAGACAGAGTCTCCCTACTCTCAGTTCTGTTGCCCAGCATCACAGCAGCTGACAGCAGCAATTGCAGGGAAAGTCCTGCCCAGCCTTTGCAGCTCCGGGATGGAAGTTGCCCAGTGTAAATGGAACCTTAATTTAATTTGGCTGCCAGACTCTAATAAGTCTCTACTGAGCATGTGCAAACTGTGATTTTTCAGAGGCCAAATTTGGGCACTTTTTCATGGGAACAGCAAAAGGCGCAACCCTAACACCAGGAAGACCCCCACCCCTGCCACGTTTCAAGTCCCTGATCCAAAGCATGGAGGCACTAGAGCTTCTAAAACAATTTCTTACAACTAATTCATTAACATGGGCAAAGCAACATATTTCCCCCTAATCTTGTTCTCAGAAATGGCTGAACCATTTTTGCTGAAATTTTCCAAAAATTTCAGCCAGAGGTAGACACTCAGCATGGAAAATTTCAGCCCAAATGATTAAAGTTTGGCAGAGTTATAAGCAACTGAAGCTGGATTCTTATAATGGGAAGTGTTGGAAAACTTCACCTATAGATAGAGCTACCCGTGCCACCTATAATACACATGATGCCGAGGCACTCTGGTGGGCACGTTAGAAAGGCAGCCAGACAGACGTTACTAACATGCAAAGCAGCGTATGAAATTCAGGAAATGCATCGCCGCACATGGATTTAGATGTTAGTGATCTATCCTCTCCTGCATAAACATAGATCTCTGAATTGAAGTTTTAACCCTTCTGATAGCTTTTACTCTGTGATTTTTAGCTATACATATGCATTCTGCGACACCCCCCCTCAGATAGAGAGAATATAATTGTAAAGCATTTCATAATGCTTAATAAAGGTTCAATGAATGGTGTCCTGATACTCAGTCTCAGCAAAGACAGCAGGACTGAATAGCAGGGGGCTGGTAGGTCAGAAGAGAGGTGCTTTGGCAGAGCTGTGTGTGGAGGCAGAGGGCACAGGAACGGAGTAGTAGGGGACGCTGAGGTGGATTGGTAGAGCGGTTTAGGGCCTGGGACTGGAACCGAAGGTAATGGACAGATAGGGATAGGGAAACACAGCAGAGATGGTGGTGCCCAAAAATGAATATGAACGTATGCTGCAGTCTCCAGTTCATTGGCAGAGCAGTGCAGCAGCTTGCAATTGGAAAAGCAGGGGGTGGAGCAAGTCAAGAACATGGTGCATTACAATAGCTGCACAGGGGTACACACCCTGCCCACATTGCAGCTGGCTTTAGCCATAGGGGTACACACCCTGCCCACACTGCAGCTGGCTTTAGCCAGAGGTCTCGGGCCTTCCGTTTTATGAGCAAGAAATACACTCACAATATAAAATCTAAAATAAATTAAGCAGTGAGAATTTCCGACTGCTCTCTGGGTTAAATGGTTTTGCTGTCCTGAAGGGTCATGGTCTTGAACTGCCAGCCAAGCACCTCCCACATGCAAAACAACTGCCCCAAAGGAAGAAGTGCTTTACCAAAGCAATGGCGATTCAGAAATCCACATGCCTTTATCAGGCTCGGGGTCCCATTTTCACATTATGCTCATCGTCAGTGAAAGCAAAAGAAAACCAGACATGAAAATGGAACTCTGATCACACGTGCAGCAGAACTTCCTGCAGCCAACTCTGTGCATGAGCAGAGAGATGAAGCAATCCAAACGGAGAAAAAGGTCTGCAGTGGCCAGCGGCGGCTCCAGGCACCAGTGCTCCAAGTGCGTGCCTGGGGCGGCAAGCCCCAGGCAGGAGGTCCGCCGGTCCCACGGATTCGGTGGCAATTCAGCGGCGGGTACGCCAAAGCCGCGGGACCGACGGACCTCCCGCTGGCATGCCGCCGAATCCGCGGGACCAGGGACCTCCCACAGGCATGCCGCCAAAGGCAGCCTGCCTGCCGTGCTTGGGGTGGCAAAAAAGCTAGAGTCGCTCCTGGCAGTGGCGATTGTCATTTTTGCTTAGTAAAGGGAATATTTGATGCTGCATAGATAAAAACCAAAAGGGTTTTAATGACCCGGTATAAGAAGACTGGATTCAGAGAAGAGGCACTGTTGCCAGGCAACCTAATACCATAGAGACTGGAAGTTTATGGCTTGTTATGGCAAGACAGGTGCAGCCAAGTATGGATTGAATCTTGAGAGATGTGAGAACCTGCCACTCAATGCCCTGCGGGTAGCCATGGATTAATTTTCACTATAGTCCCTTCCAGGGCCGGCTCCAGCGTTTTTGCCGCCCCAAGTGGCGAAGAAAAATAAAAAATAAAAAATAAAGCTGCGATCGGTGGCACTTCAGCGGCAGCTCTACCGCGCTGCTTCATTCTTCAGCGGCAATTCGGCGCACGGTCCTTCCGTCCAAGAGGGACCGAGGAACCCCCTGCTGAATTGCCACCGAAGACCCAGATGTGCCGCCCCTTTCCATTGGCCGCCCTAAGCACCTGCTTCCTTTGCTGGTGCCTGGAGCTGGCCCTGGTTCCTTGCTTAGAATAAGTTTATTTTTGAAAAACCCTCTATCACAGGGGTAGTTATCGTAACCTTGGCTCATAGCCTCATTAAACCACATTCTGATCATCCTCCTTCAAACACCGAGGCCCTGTCCATACCACTGCTGAATCTGTTGTAGACGCAACTGTATGTAAACATAGCTGGGTTCTAGATAGATTTTCTTCTGAGAAGCGTCCTATAACCATATTGGAAAATCACATTATACCTTACCTACTGTGATGAAGTGAGCATTTTTGGTAAGATTTTTTCTGAAGCCTATGAGTGCCTCAGTTTCCCCTATACTTTGCACGGTTACCCAGTTGGGGAAAGGACTAAGTTTGGTCTCAGGGCAGGCTGAGGGCTTGGCTACACTTACAGCGCTGCAGTGTCACTGGTGCAACTGCGCCTTTGCAGCGCTTCAGTCAAGGTGTTGAAGGAAGTAGCCCTCTCATCGACACAGGGTGGTCTGCACTCGGGGTCAGGTTGGTATGACTGCATTGCTCAGAGGTGTGGATTTTTCACAGCCCTGAGCAATGCAGTTATACCGATGTACATTTGTAAGGTAGACCAGGTCTAAGAGACAGTTGTGTGCGCATTGCCTAGCTGTCTCAGTAATCTGAATGGGTCATTAAAAAGGACCAGCCTTGGCTGACTTATATCAACGGAAAATCCAAGAAGACAATGGCAAACCCAAGCACCAGGACATTGACACCAACAATGCTGAGGGCGGAGGATGTCCCTGCCTCTCAGCAAGGAAGCTGAGCAGATACCCCCAGCTCGAGAATGAAGGACTGAGAGGTCTGAGGTGGAGGGATAAGAGTTGGCTTCCGGAAGAAGCTGGGGGCTCTCTCACCTGGGAACCGACTAAGGAAGGAAGTCAAAGAGAGAGACAGAGTGCCAGAAAAAGGAGTTCACTACAGCTTGCCAAGTGGCTTGCTCTGGAATGACCAGAATGGCCTCTGCTTTACCTTTCATGTCTCTATGTTAACTTAAGGACTTCCTATGCTGTGTTCCAGTTGACTAACAACCCCTACCTACTATTCTGGAAACACTGTTTGAGTGTCCCTGCAAATACTGCGTGAAGAGCATTAATCCCTGAATAGTCTCCACCAGTCTATCTCAGTTGGACTCGCTGAACAGAGCTCAGGGTGTGAAGCAAGGGTTCTGAAGCCCCAGAGGTTCAATCTTGGGAGGCGGTGTGGTCTATGCTGAAGGGAAAGTGAGACCCCTTGGGGGTCTGGAAAATCAAAGGGGTTCCTCCAAGACACTGTTTGAAGTTGGGGACATAGCACTGATCCTGTGGATCTCCGACACCTACCACATGGACTAATCTATGGTCCTATCCTATAGCAATTCATTTGTTTGTTCCCTGACACGGGGGACTGTACTGGCTTGTAGAGTATACAGTACCAAACCATGTTTTAAACATGTTTCTCCACTGTGCTACAGCCCTGCTAATGTCCAGTGCTACAGCATGACTTGGGCACACAAGTAAAACAGTTTGATCGTGGCTACACTGCAAGATCAAACCATGTTTTAACTCTGTCAGGGATTACGGTGTTGTAATTGGGATCCACGACATAGTAGAATAGATGGGAACTGGTGGAAATAATTGAACTTGTAATCCCCTTTTGCAAGAGCCTTGATTTATCAGGACTCTTGGAGAGTAACAGACATAACATGGTTAGCTTAGCCTAATGATGAGAACCAATCCTGCTTGTCTGTTCACTACTGTAGCATAATTAGCTGGTATGAAAAGGCTGATATTGTAAAGAAATAAAAGCTGGGTGTGAAAATGAAAGACAAAACCAGGGTGAAACCTTTGATATTTTCTATTCTCTTAATTTATTACTTTTACACAGTTTACTGGAGTGATTGGACCTCTGACTTGGGTAGTTTCTGGCAACTAATGGGTGGTTGGACTGAGGGCTTGAGTTCTCGGGCAGGACTACATAAAACCTGTTGGCTTCAGTGAACAAAAAACAATTTGGGGTTGGGGGTGAATTTCAGTTCATCTGTTTTGCAGCCCTCAGTGTTGGGTTCACCCTGGCTCTCCACACTAAAATTTTACTTCAGATGTCTTCAAGGAGGGGGCAAGAGCTAGTGGACGTTACCAGCCTTCCAGAGTCTCCACATGGTGGGTTCTGGGCCATTCTCCCCTTCCCAAGATCTTTAGATGGAGGCAAACCCTGTCAAGTAGTTCTGGGCCAACTGAGTCACCTCAGGTCTCAGATGGTGAGTAGTGTAGGGCTACCTGGCATCCTTCAGAAGCCTTTTTGGTATTGGGAAGCACAGCAAGCCTGCTTGCCGGCTCCTCAGATGACATCTGGTGGGAAGAGAGGACCATCTAGCTCCTCCTCAAAGATGTTTGTTGGGGGAGTAAAGGCCCACTCCCTCAGAAAGATGGCTGCAGGTTAAGGGAGAGTGGTATGCAGTTGTTGGAAGGCCCAGCCCAGTCCCAGGTTCACATAAAATGGTCTTGAGGTCAGTGCACACCCTTGAGAGCTTTGCTCTGGTAATGAAACCAGAAAAGTTGGATTTTGGCATAAACATTTTCCATGACCCTGCTCCCTGGTTCTCAGCCTACCTGGTAATTAACAGCTAGGAAATGCTATCCCCTTTGACTATTATTGCTCATTGAATATTCACTTTGTCGCTAACGAATATCAACTATGAAGTATTAATACAAGATTAAAGAGAGTAAACAGATAACAATATAGCTTGAAAAAAAATATCACATTACATAATGTGATCTGCAGGACTAGAAAAGTGGTCTTGTTATGGTGTTAGCCAACCCTGGAAATGCCTTCATAAAGCGAGAGGGTGTCGCATTGCTGCAGGAGGCTGAGACTGCTTGTGCACACTGTGGGGCAGAGTTTGAAGCATCCTTTCTTTTTGTTTGGGGAATCGGACACTCAGTAACCTGTCTTCCAGTGGGCTGCTTACAGGCGGAGTAGAGGATATTGAAGGAGTCTCAGCATTCACCAAGATGTACCTCCTTAAAAGAAAAACAGAAGACAGAGTCATCTCCAAGTGATTGATATTAAGGTAAAGGTACATGTCAATCTTTCTAAATGCTAATACTGTAGGTACTATGCTTGGAGGAGGTGGGCACTCTATATTCATTTATTCATGCTCTATGATCGTCCAGTTGCGGAAAGGGCAGTTGTTGTTAACTATATGAAGCTAAGTCAAAAGGGGCTGTTAGGAAAACAAGCAGGAAATCAGATAATGACTAGAGGTAAGATACCTCTGAGGAAAATGTGGGGGATGCAGGGCAGAAGGCTGGGTGTGTGGGGGGGTTCAGGGGTCAGGGCAGAGGGCTGGGGTGTGTGGGGGTGCAGGGCAGAAGGGTGGGTGGGAGGGGAGGTCAGGGCAGAGGGCTGGGGGTGTGGTGGGGGTGCGAGGGCAGGAAGGCTGGGTACTGGTGTCGTCGGGAGGTTCCGAGGGGTCAGGGCAGAAAGGGCTGGGGTGCTCGGCTCATGGGGGTGCTCCCAGCCCCCTGCCCTGAGCGGCTCACGGCAGGGGGCTGGAAGGGATATGCCCTGTTCCACCCCCTTCCCCAAAGCCCCGACCCTACCTCTTCTCTGCCTCCTCTATGGAGCAGGGAGCACACTGCCACTCCTCCCCCTCCCCCTTGCAAGGGCCATCAGCTGATCAGTGCAGGGAAGGAGAGGAGGAAGGGCATGAAAGCAGCACGCTGGGGGAAGAAGCAGGGGTGAGGGGGAAGCTTGGCTGCCGCAGGACCAAGCTTCTGCCTCCTGCCCCCGCAGGGGAGAGCGGTGGGCGGGGGGTTGAGTGGGGCTGGGGGCCGGGACCGCAGCAGGCAGCAGCGTGCCACTCAAAATCGGCTTGCGTGCCGCGTTTGGCACGCGTGCTGTAGGTTGCCGAGCCCTGTCCTATGCTATGTGGTTTTCCTACTGTTAAGAATAAACGATACTTTATTTTGAAGAGGCTGACTGGTCACAGGATACCACTGCTCACAGCTCCCGAGAAGCAGAACTGCAGATACTGAAACTAACTCTGGCCTGTGGGGGTAATCATGGTTAGCACACAGAGGTCTGCAGCTGAGGTCCTGGTGTAAGAAAGGGAGAATCACAGGGTTTCACCCCACAAAAGGTGACAGCTTGAGGCTCATCACTTGTGGAGGTGCATTCAGAGAGATGCAGCTAGCCCTGTAATCATGACACTATGCATGCTCTTCAAGGGCTCTTGAATAAGCCAGGCAGTCGTATCAGAATTATACTAATAGCTTGACATAGTTATCAAACAACAGCTTCCTTTACTACACCAGAGTGAGCTTCTCAAATATCTCTGGAGGATCAAGACAAAGCAGACTCTCTCCTTTTAGGCAACCTTCCGCATCACTGCTTTACAAACAGCCACAACAAAGTGTTGGGCAGGAGGAGACACCAACCTGGTGTCTATACAACACACACATTCTGAAAATATCTTGATCAGAGTTGTCTTTGTTGGGCACTTCTCAGCCACCTTTGTTCTGTGCCCACTGCAACATTCATAAGTGCAGGCAGCCACCACCTGTATGTCCAACAGTTTGGGCTGCTGTCTACTTACCATAAAGGCCTGTTCTCTGCTCTGAGAGTCACTGTTCAAAGGGGTGGGATTTCCAAACTTGGGCTCTGCATGTCTTTGCTCCAGGATTGGTCCTGCTTTGAGCAGAGGGTTGGACTAGATGACCTCCTGAGGTCCCTTCCAACCCGGATATTCTATGATTCTATGATATGTATAGTGCTGGCTGAAATGACCTATTCTCACTTCATGACACCTGGTAACTTAGCAGATAATTCCCTGGATTGCTTTGTAAACACTGGTCATTTCTGCTAGGAAGTGCAGCTTTCTGTGCTGCTGTTATTATACCTTAGATAAAATTGTGAATTTGCCCCAAATAAATTCCTTTTTTTTGCTGAGAAATCTGACTCTTACTTTTGAAATAAAATAAAATAAAATTCAGGGTGAACATGAGAACCCTTTTACTATTTTACACATTTATTAAATGCAATTTTTGCCTTTCCTGGGTTTTTGCCAGCAGTGAGACTGCTGTACGCATCTTTACCGAGGGAACAATGGGATCAGACTGTAGCCAGTGAGTGAAGCTTGATGGGAGTAGGAAAAGCTGGGGGAACAAGAGTGATTATTCATCATGGGTTGGCAGACACAGAGGGCTTCTCTACTTACCCTTTGCTAGGGATTGATTTTGTTGGCTGCAGATTTCTCTCTACAAGGAGGCTGCTTGCTTTGCCTTCTTTAAACAAGTCCAGCATCGTCCTTGGGTAACGCAGTTTTCCCTCCAAGTCATGGGTGGTCACAGGTCCCCAGGCTAGTCTATAACATCACATTAGATTAATTTCAAATAATGGGAGTAAAAGAAGATTAAAAAACAAGATGAAAACACGAGTTATGAAGGCATACTTAAGAACCAAAAAATACAGGGTTTAGATGGAAATCTCAGTTCAGGGGAGGCCATCACTCCCCTAAGAAACCGATCTCAAATGGAAAACTGTTGGCTTAGGATTTAAACTTCTCCAAAAATCAGAGCCTGTGGCTGCCTGATATTGTGCAGTGACACTGCTCTGCCCTGGAAGTGCCACTGGAAGAGGCAGCCTTTGCTTCCAGCCCAGGGCTGGAACGCAACGTTCGGAATCTTCCTCCTCTGGCAGAAAGGAACGGAAACATTGTCCCTAATTTGCACACGGAGCAGCTAATGCACAGAGGTGAAGTGACTTGCCCATGACCACATGGTGAGTCGCTGGTAGACCAAGGAACAGAACCCAGGTGTCCTGATTCCCAGTCCCCTCTTTAGCAGCTAGCCCATGTTCCTTCCCCTTCCTATAGAAAAAAAAACTCCCAGTGAAACTTTTGTGCCATAAAAGGCAGTGCTCTGCAAGAGCTCCTGGATCACTTGTCAAACTGCGGAATCTCTCCTACAACCAGCAAGAGGCGAAAAGTGCTGCAGAGGCAGCAAGCTCGGCTCTTGAACAGCGTTGGGAGAGAGAGTTTCATGATGCACCGCGGTTACTCCTTTCTTGATCAAAGTGCAGTGTTGCTGAGTTCTAAAGGGATTCCTGCCCAGTTCCCCTCAGCGGGGAGGCTGCCTGTTGGAGGCTTGAGTGTGGGGAGAGGGTTTAAAGGAATCACTCATAAAAACCAGAGACTTTATTGGAAGAGGGAAATGCAGAGGGGGGAAAAAACAGTCCTCCAGTGCTTGCACTGTCCCATTCAAACCCTTGGCTTGCATCCAGAACTCATCTCATTGGTCTTCTGAAAAACAAAAAATCACTGAATGCTGAGAGGATGGTGCTGCTGCTCCCCACATGTTCAAATCAATCTACTACAAAGCTAATGAGACTCAGAAAAGGCCTTTACTTTTTACATTTGGCCTGTGAAGCATTAATGTTTCCCGCTGAGTAGTTCACTTGCAAAGGAAGAGTGAGTTGGCTCAGAACTCGGATTTCTCGGCGTGTACTGAATGTTCTGTTTACCTGTAAGGAAACTCCCTGGAAAAGTTGATGGGGGCCTCCTGCATCACAGCGCACGGATGGGAAAGGACATGGGACTTCTTGTGAGGCTGCATCCAAGCAGCAAGCTCTGTTTCAAAGAGGTTTTCAGAAATCTGCAAATTCTGATCTAGAGAATGGGAAGAGAAAGCTAGAAGGCTCTTAATGTATTTTTATATACAGAAATGAACTCAGACAGATATCTAAACAACTGCATCTCACTTGCATGGGTCTGTATGACTGGGAGTGATAGAGACACTAAACTCCAAGCATTTGGGGAAACTTTAAATCACTCAGCATTTTATTGCATTCTTTTCATTTAACACATTTTTTATTTAGTTTATTAAGCCCCTCTCTAGCACTCTATATCCTTATGTATAGAAAGGCTCATTGCATTTATTAAAAAATACTGCTTACATGCAGTGTTTTACATAGAGGGCCAGATTCCGAGATGATGCATAAAGGAGCATACATTACATGTCAGGAAGAAGGTGTAATTGAATTTAAGGGAGCCCAGGTTGGTGTCACATTCCAAGGGGCCAGAAGACAGGAGTGTAATAGAAGCATCTTCCCGAGGGTGTAATAAAGGTGAAAATTAAAATAACTACCCTGTATTTTAACTTACAGCCTCTTCTGGCTCCTTACTATTTACGTTAAGCCAATTTAGACTCCTTTGGACTCACTTCCTGATATGTAACTTGGGTGACCAGATGTCCCAATTTTATAGGGACAGTCCCGATTTTTGGGGCTTTTTCTTATATAGGCTCCTACTACCCCCCACCCCTGTCCCGATTTTTCTCATTTGCTGTCTGGTTACCCTATATATAACAGGTTTCAGAGTAGCAGCCGTGTTAGTCTGTATCCGCAAAAAGAAGAACAGGAGTACTTGTGGCACCTTAGAGACTAACAAATTTATTAGAGCATAAGCTTTCGTGGGCTACAGCCCACTTCTTCGGACGCCGTTGTCCTCCGAAGGGTCAGCTCTGATAAAATAGGTAGG